TCTCTCTCTCTCTCTCTCTCTCTCTCTCTCTCTCTCTCTCTCTCTCTCTAGCTATCTGTCGATAGTTACAAAATACGAAACAGAAAAAGGACAAATAAAAAAGAAAAGAAAAAAAAGAAAGAAGAGAGTTATAGCAAACGATGGGGTTGCATTAAAGCGTGACGAGGAACATCCGAGGAAGCGGAGCTGCTGTGGCCATTTTGTCAGAGAACCCGGTGGTTGTACCCCGCCTGGATCGATAAGCTTTGCTTTTAAAAGATTTATGGAGTCAGCGACGCGACGGGAAAAACGATTATACGCTCGATCGCATTGTAGGGCTAAGGAAGATAGGCTAAAAAAAAAAAATAAGGTAAAAAAAAAAACAAGAACGAAACTAAACGAAACGTGAATCGAAATGGAAACAGAAAACTTGTTTTCTCTGTTCAGACGTAAGTAGTTTAATTTATTTACCTGTCCAACCGATTTCATGTTACTGCATAGTCAGGTGTTTCCATTTTAAATGTCGGAAGATCATTTTACAAAGCATATCTCTCATTTACGATACTAAAACTTCCGGAATTATGCGAATTCTCTCAACATAAACGCTTTAGTTTCAACCCCAACATCGATTCACCCCCCAACCCTCGCGCCCCTCCCCCCTACCCCCAGTTCTCTGCCCTTATGCAAACTAAATGCTCGAGCACTGTGGTTAATTTATGAGCACCACGTTAATCGATCTATCTATCTGTCTCTCTCTCTCTCTCTCTCTTTGTATATACAACATACATACATATACATATATATTTACATATATAATTATTCATGCATATATACATATACTTCAGTTTCAGTTAACAGTAGTGTAGTTCTCTGTATATAACAGTCAATACAAATTAATAGGATTAATTATTAACAATAATATTTCGAATTAAGATTCGTATATGTATAGTTAGTTGTTTAATAAATTGTTATTTTTATTTAAAAATATACGAATTTAGTATTAAAAATTGAAAATTTCTGAGATACATCACCCTACTTAATTTCATGCTAGACGATTACATTTTTGTACGAGTAGAGATGTTGTTGTTATTTTTGTTCTACCTTTTTGTTTGTTTGTTTATTTTTTATTAATAAATATCCTACAACTGTTGAAAGCATTCATTGAAAAAAAAAAAAATATATGAATACGACGAGGTACGATTATTTATGCGTATAATATGTACACGTGCTTCGTATAACTATATATATATATATATATGACATTTGAATCACGATGAAGTATTGTAACGGGGAAAAATGCAAATTTATTAAAATTTTTCGACTACACTTTACGAATGAAATTAATTTTTGATTTATTATTGCATTGTAAAAAAAAATAAAAGAACAAATAGGTATTTTTTATTTTATTATTTAGAGAAAACAGTTTCTTTTAATTTTGTCAAATTATAAATCAAACTCATTCGTGTGAAATTTTTAAACGAGAATAATAAATAAGTATTATTTTTAACTCTAAACAAATAATATAAATAATTATATATATATAAACCATTACGATGAATAATTTTTCTTCAATCCCGTATGATTTCTTTATTCCGAGATGCTATTATTCATCATTTAACCTCCCACGTGTATTTTATGATCTTCCTGAGATTCAAAAAAAAAAAAGAAAAAGTTCTCTCTATATCTGCTAAAAAAAAAAAAAAAAAAAAAAATAATCTGAATAAATGGTTATAGAAAAATGCAATGTCAGACAAATATATGAAAGATAAATGAGAAAGATCTCAATCGAAGTTATNTAATTATATATATATAAACCATTACGATGAATAATTTTTCTTCAATCCCGTATGATTTCTTTATTCCGAGATGCTATTATTCATCATTTAACCTCAATATTATTTAATATTATTTATTTATTAATTAATTTAATAATGTGCACATTTTCTCTAATATTTATTGTAAAAAAAAAAAAAAAAAATAAAATAATCTGAATAAATGGTTATAGAAAAATGCAATGTCAGACAAATATATGAAAGATAAATGAGAAAGATCTCAATCGAAGTTATTCACATTTTTGCTGAATTTGCAGTTGGTTCTAACGTAATCTTGATAAATAAATTACACTCTTTAAGAGTCATAAATGATGTTTCAAAATCTTTCACAAATCCAATTCGTTCAATAAAATGTACTAATTAATAACAATACGTTTGTTTATTAAAATATAGAATGGTAAAAGTTTCAGAATGACTTATTGACTAACCTCGATACAAATGGAATTAAGGGCCTAACTTAAAACATCTATACATTTGTCCTATTTTAATATAAATATCAAACACTCAAAGTTTTAACATTTACTTATTGGCTAACCCCAATAAAAAGTGGAATTAAGGGCTAACCTAATATATATATATATATATATATATACTTGTCCTATTTATTATAAATATAAAATATACAATAAGTATTAATATTATTCATTGACCAATTGAAACATAAATGAAGTTAATGGTCAATATTTACCTTAAACGTATCCTATATATATATATAGATAGATAAATAGATATATATATAAGATACGTTTATATTTATATATATATATATATTATATAATACTATATATTAATTATATATATATTATTATATATATTAGTATATATATACTTGTCCTATTTATTATAAATATAAAATACAATAAGTTTTAGTATTATTCATTGACCAATTAAAACGTAAATGAAGTTAATGGTCAATTTTTACCTTAAACGTATCCTAAATATACATATACATATATATATATATATATATATATATATATACAACAACTGTCCCCCTTGATTTACGTGCTACTTTTTCTACACGAATATTTTACATAGAAGGTAAAAAAAAAAAGAAGAAAAAAAAAAGAAAATTAGGTCGCTTTTGAAATAGCGACACCGTATGAAACGATAACGACAGTAAAATTTATTTCGTTATTTTGTTATTTTTTATTTTCTTCATTACAATTTTACAATATTTATTTTTAACTTGTACCATGGGAAATAAAAATATTTTATCTAAACTACCTTTCTGAATGTGGTGGCTTCTCTCTATAAAAAAAAAGAAAAAAGAAGAAACGTTTAAGTTCTTCTCTTCTACGAATAGAAGAATTCTTTTTATCAATCATGTAAAAAAGAAAAAAATCCATACAAATGACCAATGATATATTTTTTGTTCAAATATTCAAGTAAATTTATTGCTTTTATGCTTACGTTATAGATATGTACACCAATAATTTTCTTTTAGTTAGTTTTTAGATATAACTCTTTTGAGAATAGAATAAATACGTTTATC